GGGGGAGGAGGCCTGGTGGGGTGTGAAGGTGAATTGGGGGATTGGTGATTAAGGAAGGGGGGAGACATTAGCTCACAAAATAAGATTTTGTATCTTAGTTTTTCTTTGTAAATTTTAATTGATAATTAAATGGTGTTTGATAACTTATATAATGCAAGCTTTTGTGGTTTTAATTTCATTTTGATGGTAAAATATTAGAATTTAAAATGTCCATTCCAGAAAGCCTATGAAGTCATTCAGGCGTAATAAACGGTAACCAACGTCTGGTTGGCGACAGAGGTTGCCACCTGGCATTGCGACGACAAGACTGCGGTACTCTATAATATGGTACTTACTGTCCGGAGGAGGTGGCGGCATCATTGATGAAGGGCGGTTTCCCCCTCCTGGTGTTGGTGGTGCATCAGAGAACAGCTGATGGGGTCTGTCTGCTTGTGACAGGGGATTCTGGGCAGCTAACAACCTCTCTAGAAACATAAAAAAAAATATGCTGACAGCATACTGTATCAAGTAATGGAGGTATCTAGGCTAATGAAAACTAGCGAAAGAATGAACCAAAAAAACAAGATGAAATATAAGTACCACAGCAAAACCCCCAATAAATAAATAGTTCTGAGCAATGTTTTGAATGATAGAAGAGAATTTGCATTTTTTTTCTATTCCAAGGGGTGGCTGAAGAAAAGCCTGAGAAATGTGTGACTGGTGCTATGGTTATTGTTATTAGTATAGTAGTGGTTTATTATACTACAGTATTGAACATCTATCTATTTGTAAGTTTTAAGTAAATGAATGAACCAGCAATCATATCTATCATTCCAATTATCCATCACTCCATGAAAGACTGGTTTTCATAAAATTGCTATTCTATCACTACAGCATTGCCACTGCAATAGTAAGCCGAGCAGTTGCTGTCGTATAACCATTGGCTGACGGATCAAACCTAACTCCCCTAAGCTAACAAAGACTCCTGATTGACTTGATCAATCAGTATTTGGAAGCTGTTGGTGGTAGCAAGCAGTGATTTTATGATACCATATCTATCAACCTATTTAGTCATCATTTGCTTCAACCACTACTCTTTCCATCTATTCATCCATCCACCTATATGACCTGATATTTACCTGCAGCTGATCCATGCCTCTCCCCTTTTGAGTCTTTCTTAAATGCGTATGAGATGGTGATTGCGCGGTTGCAAAGGTACTGTCCATTCATGGCCTCAATGGCGGCATCGGACGTATCAAAGCTCGCAAAATTTATAAAGGCGTACCCCTTGGAATTACCAGTCTCTGGATCCCGCATGATCTAAAAGATAAATTAATAATAATTTTTACTTAAAATCTACCTCAAAAAATGGATAAAAATTAGCAATTAAATTATGGAAAACAACTAATGTGTTTATTATTATAGTTTTTGTTGCTATTGTCATTATTATTTTCATGTCACTCAGGCAAATGTTTAATATTTAATAATATTTAGATAACCGGAGTTGAAAACAGTTAATTATGCCAGAAGACTTAAGCATTAGGAGATTTAAGGGCTGATCATGTTGAGAATAGCATAATCAGCAAAACTAACAAAAGCCACTCCATGTGTGCTAAACCATTGAGATATTTCTGACCTCTGACCAAGTTCAAATTTAGCAATATTGCACTGTCTTCTTTCAAAAGAGATGTTTACGTCATTTGGCCCTGAACATTTTGCAACCCACTGCATGCCTCCAAACTCCCTGCCTCCTAACATGTGCCAGGATAGCATGGTTTTAGGCATACAGGTGAATGATTTAGGTTTAAGTTTGGTGGTCAGGATAAGATCAGATAGGAGATAAAAACAGGATAATATTTTCTCATGAAAATACCGATAAATTTACATACCTTTGGTGTTTGTAGAATTACTCCAAAAGCGCTAAATGTGTCAAAGAGAAGTTTCTCATCAATTTCTGGGTCTAGATTTCCGATGAAAATGTTTGCACCAACATCTAAATTCTTTTGATGTGCTGAGGCCTGCAAGCATAATTTTCAAAAGGTAGGTCAACACACATTTTTTTTTCTTTCTAAAACCAGTCACTGATTGTGAACAACAGTCATCAGCCAACACAATTCCATGGAGAACGAACGGCATGACACGCGCGCAAGGGATCGTTTTTAATGACGATCCGTGTAGACTGCCACCAACAATCAGCAGATGGTGTCCAGTCGCATAAAGCTTACAGGGAGCAGAATTGGATTCGCCGGCCGACAATCGTTTTTGGCAGAATATATTTTTTTCTGAAACTGAACTATCATAAGTTTCATTGGTTTACAGTTGTATAATTCTTCTAGGTTGCTAGACTGATTGGTTGATTGACTGATACAGTAACTGTTAGAATCTCATTATGTAGCCAACTCTGATTGGGTGACTGGTTAAAACTGAAACCATCTGTATTTTCATTGGTTGTTAGTTGTTAGAATTTCTGAGTTTAATTACCTTGTTGACTCTGATTGGTTTACCGAACATTTTGATCATGTTCATCACTTTGATGGCATAGTCTGCATCTTCTTCGCCCATGAACTCAACAAAGCCGTAACCCTGATGAAGCTGGGTCACCCGGTCCTTGGGCATGTGTGTGTTGACTGAAAAAAAAAATGAATGACAAAATTTGGAAATTGGCCAACTTTCAACCCTCTGAAGTTTACCATCTCTAATTCTTTTCAGTTATTCACATGCGTCACCAAGAATCTTATTTATTTAGTAAGCTGTACTGCTGTAGAGAATATATATAAATATCTCAGTAGAGAGGTACATTTTTCATACCATTGTACACTCCTAGAAGGTGGAGACACATATAGCGCAAGTGAAAGAAGACAAGCAAAATGCTAGGCGAGAGATTCAAAAACCTCACCTCAATATTTAGAACCCTACCCTGCTTCACCACAATTTATATTGAGGTGTTGTTTTGTACATACCTAGCTAATGTTGAAATTTTTAAAAAATATTTTTATCAGCCATCAGATTTGGGAGGTTTATTGTTTGATATCCCTTGCCCCACAATCAATACAGTGTTACAGTATCTCAATTTTCATCCCATATCACATTGACCATCTTCACGCCGTAGCATCATTACGGTATATTTTTATAGGGCGGATCCAAGCCTATAGCGATTGCCATAGAAGCGTGGTGCATAAACAGCTTAGACATGTGTTTGATTTACTGTGTTCTTTGACTAATTTTGTTAAACGAGCAGTTTTTTTTTGTTTTAATTTAGCCTGGTCATTGTATATATTTTTTGTACACCATATTTTTTTTTTTTTTGAATTAGCTACTGTTCTGACATATATAGATAATTATCATTTGTTTTCAACATCAATATATTTGATTGATATTTTCTAATTTGTGGATTGTTTTAAGCAATTACATATTAATTATTTACAACTGGGAATTTCTGGGCCACAAGACACAATGTTAAAATTTTCAGAACAGATAAGTGAGTGGTGCTAATTTCAATACATAACATTGATACTGTATGCATTGAAATTTTAAAATTTAACGTGCGTCCCCGAGCCAATACTGTATCTGCGCCTGAAGGATGCATGTTTATCCTCTCTCCCTCCTTTTAATAAATTAACATAAAGGCACTCACCGACTGGACCGGCTTGTAGGAACAGCTCCCATAGTAGTGCTTCTGTCACTTTCTCATCCAAGCCACCAACATAAACCGTAGCATCTTCAAAGGGAAAAATATAAATTATTGTAAAATGTGGCTCTTCTGTAATAGTGTAACATTTTAGGAAGTGTTTTTAATGCAATTCTGCAGCTATTTAATTACGATTCTGCGCACCTATATTTTCCTAGCTTACTGTCATGTGTAAGCATCCATAAATATCCGGTCCATAAATATAAAGCCTATGCTAATCTCTACACCATGCTCAAGGGCCAAGCAAGGCATGGGCCTGTACATTTAATTAGCCTAGGCAAAAGAAGTTACCTAGAGATTCTATGATGGGGCCTAGGCCAGCACTTTCTTTCAGTGGGATCGATAACTACAATACAACCACCACCTCCGCGACGCGTGGTGGTGGTAGGGCATTCCTAGACTAGGCCTAGTAGTAGTAGTAGGCTGGCTAGGGTAGGGCTAGATTAGATGGTAGATAGAGGCTAGGCCTAAACTAAAGCCCGGGAAAGGCCAACTCAGACAGCGTCGTACGACGCAGCCCGACGCGGTATTGTTGTCGCGTCGGTCTGTGTGAGTTAAACGCAGACGCGATGGTGTGCGTCGGTGGCAATCGCGTCGTAGAATATTAAACATGTTTAATATTTCTCACGACGGCTTTCTTTAGACTGTCCCCGACGATAAATACGGTCGGGCTGCGTCGGCCAACGCTGTCTGAGTGGGCCTTTTATTTAGGCTACAGCAACATGGTGCGATAACTTGAATAGCGATTTAGCACATAACTTACAAATTAACTTAAAGGAGAGCAACACTAAAGCGGTAAGTAAAACATATAAATATATATGAACATTCTTTATTTATATTTAAGTTACTAATATTCAATAAAACAAACCTTGATTTCGCTCAAGAGGTGGCCCAGCCGCCATGTTTTCGATTTTACAGCGTCGTTTATTTGTTTGTGGATTGTTATCTCAAATGTAACAGTATACCGATAGAGGGCGTTCAATGTCCAACGTGCGTTTCCTAACTTTATTTCAAGTAGTTGTGCAATCCGTATTATTATAAATACGGATTTCACAATCAACAGAATAGTTGCTGCGACACTTTCGGCCAGGAAGGTGGTCGAAAATTCATCATTCGTTTTTGTCTCTAGTGGTAAGTTCCCAAAACTCTTATTTTATTACATTTGAAAGCACTTTTGTTCCAAAAACATGAGACCTAGGCATTTTCTTGTTTGGAGATATATCGTTAGAGCAATACGTACCTCAATGGTTTTCAGGTTTCCAATTTGTTAATTGTTACATTATAATATCTGTCATTTTTAGGATGGAATCTGAGCTCTTCGACTATGAACACGCTTCATCAGGTGCCGCCTCTTTCTATCCCGCTCAATGTTCCTCTCTTAAGAAAGGGGGGTATGTAATTATCAAGAAACGGCCTTGCAAAGTTGTCGAATTGTCGACTTCTAAGCCAGGAAAACATGGTCATGCTAAGGTAAGATACGTCATTAGTTCTTATACATTTATGATGGCACAAGAAGTTATAAAAAATGCGTTGTTAAAACTGAATGAATGGGCTGGCTCTCTAGCACTGATATATATTGATTTTAATTAATTAATAATTGATCATTTGGTTAATGAATTATTTTAATAATGAATGAATCATTGAATGATAAAATAATTGAATGATTGAGTAATTGATTAATTAAATGATTAATTGATTTTCTTGTAAACCGTATTTCGAGGGTTGAATGTGGCTTGCTTGCTTGATTGATTGATTGATTGGTTGATTGATCGATATCAATCGATCGATCGATCGATTGAATGACTCAGTGACTCACTCACTGATTGATTAAATTATTGACTGACTGAATAATTGACTCATGGTTTAATGATAAGATCATTGGTTGATTGATTGATTGATTGATTGGTTGATTGCGATCAATCATTTTGGTCGGTTAATTGGTTGGTTGGTTGTCTGACTAACAAATTGATACTGATTGGCAGACTGATTGGTGGATTGATTGATTGATTGATCGATCGATCAATCCGATTGATTAATCGATTTATGGATATTGGTTTCCTTGCAGGTAAATTACGTTGGTTTGGACGTTTTTACAGGACGAAAGTATACTGATTGTGCACCATCTAGCAGTAACGTACATGTTCCTAATGTGAAAAAGGGGAACGCTCAGGTACGTACCTGTTAAAATGTACGTATGCCTAATGTAAATAAAATAATATATAAAAAATGATTATTAATCATTATGGATTTTCACTCTTCCGTGTCTTGTTTTTTTTTTAAAAGTTGATCGGTATTGGAGAAGACGATTTCGCCCACCTGCTGATCAGCGGCCGAACGAAGGATGACATCCGCGTACCAGATGGTAGTCTTGGTGACGATGTTCGCGCCATTTTTGACCAGGATGGAGAAGCCCTGGTATGTTGTTTAGGCCTATATTTCTACTATTTTCTGAAGTGAATGTTCAAAAACAGACGTAAACACGGAGAGTCAGCAACTGACCTATCAAAACCAGCGTTAAGTGTACGCGTTTGTCCCACAAACACAAGGTGTCCAAACCCACCATGGTTGACGAGGGGAGGGGTTTTACGGTTTTCCTGTTCGCCCCGTACCACCGCGCTGGTGACGCCCCGGCCCTGATTATTCAAAGGCCCATATGTATTACTTCGCCTACTATTTTTAATATCACTTTTTTTCACATTTTATAAGATAAGATAAACTTTATTGTCCAAATAAAAATGGAAATTCAAGTTCCATTTGGCGTAAAAAGCACTATTAAAAATTAAAAAAAAACTCAATTCACAATAAGTTACATTAAGTTACATTAACATTTACATTTGCAATTTTAATAATTATATTAAAACATTTTCTTATATTAAAGGTAACTATATTATCTGCGTGTGATGAAGAAGCAATCGTTGCCGTGAAAGCGTGTCCACCAAGCTACGGATCGGGTTGAAAGACGTCCACCAGAGAAAGCATCGAGATTGGTTGAGTCTACCATGTCATTGGATCTCATGCCACCGATTGCTATTTTTATTGTTACATTGAAAAAATGATTTTATAATGAATACAAATAACATATTTTTATTACATTTAATTATTATTTCATTTGTAACGTACAAAATATCATTAATATAATAATCATCAACAACAGCGTCATCGTCATCATCATAATCGTCATCATGAACATGATCATAGTCATCACACTCATCATCATCATCATCATAATCATCATTCACACCCCACCAACAAAACAACATAATTATTGTATCATCTTCAATATTCTCATCGTCGTTTTACTTATTATCTTAAAGGAATGCATGATAAAATAATATAGTTAGCGTTAGCATGATTTTGAAGTACATACATTAAACATTAGTATACTATTTGATTCAATTTCTCTAAGAAGCTCTACTACTTTGACATATACCTGCACATATTTTCTATCTTTGTGTCATTATCCCATTTGAAACTACGGACCATCGTCTTAACGATTGTATTCATCTTCACTGTCAATTCTCTAATAGTGTCTCTGTGATCACCCACTTTTTTCCATGATTAAAAACACACTTTTTCTCTGGTCCCACATCTTAAGCCCTATAAAAAATAACATTTTATTTGAAAAAAGTGGCGTATCTAGAATCTTTAAATAGGGGTGCTGATGGGGGGGGGGGTCGATGATCAGTTGTCACGGGCGCTAATTCGGAAAATAATGTGATTTTAAACTACTTAACCGTGATCTTTGTGGGGGGGGGGGGACGCGTATTTTTTGTAAGGGCGTGCGCCCCCCTCCCCCACGCACACTCCTAGATAAGCCACTGTTTGACAAAAACATTTGGCTTCTAAATATGATGACATCACATCATGACCATATACAGGCACATCATCACCATATATAGGCACATAATGACTATATATGGGATGCAATAGTTGGTCTAGAATATTTGATAGTCTGGACAGAGCTTTCAATACGTCATTGTTTATGTCTTATTAATAGGTCCATGGTTTATGATGTGATGTTTCTGATATATTTTGTTATGCGTTTATACTGCTCAATAATATTGAATAATTCATCCTTACCGGTTAGGGTATATCATCAATTTTATATCATTAAAGATTGAAGATTAAAATTTGAAATAACTAACAATGTGATAGAAATTTTAAGAACTGGATGTGTAAAAGTCTTCAAATAGTGTCTATTTTTAATTCTATTCAATGTTGCAATAAAATACAAACATGTGATGGCAAAACATTGGTAAGCTTATGAATAGTGTTTTCATACAATACTGTATTTGGATAAAACCAAAGATCTGTCTCTTATACACATCTAGATGTGTATAAGAGACAGGGTATTGATATCGCGCTGTTACACTTAATTGAGTACAGGACATGAACATAATCATAGACACATTATATGAGCTTAGGAGGGCGTGATAAAAAAATATGCAAAATACGAGTTACGTCACACTGGATTTTCCAAATGGGATAAATATAAACCTAGATATTGCTAGTGGCAAAGTTCAGTGTTTGCGAGTAGAATAATGTGTTTGTATTTCGTGAAGCAAAATGGCATATTCCCTCTTTGAACAACTAAAAGAAGACGCACTGAAGTGCGCACTGTGTTTCGAGGTTCCTGGAGATGGCGGCACAGAAAATATTTTCAAATACCTAAGATGCCATCACATATTTTGTAAAAATTGTCTTGAGAAATTGGTGAAACCAGGCCAACAAATTACCTGCCCTAATTGCCGTGAGGAAACAGTACTGGACAGCACTGCTGGGTCTGTGAACAAGCTACCGTCAGCCTCGCATGTTACAGATGTGATTGACTGGATAAATAATAAACAAGTAAAGGAACTAAAAGGCCAGACGATAGATCGACAATGTCCGGAGCATAAAGTACAAATTAATTTCTTTTGCATTGATTGCAATGAGTACGTATGTGGAGACTGCTTGACACTCACGCATGATAGAGAACATACATCACTATATATCAAAACAGAAGCAGGACCAATACGCGAGGCAATAAAGGAGATGATCAAAGACATCGAGTGTCAAGTGTTACATTGGAAGAAAGCCGAAGACCAAAAAAACAAAATTATTGGACGAATCAACGCGGATGCAGCTAATGCAAAGGCATTGTTAAATGAATATACAGACAGAGTCAGGAAGGCTCTGGAATCCAAAAGAGCATCTTTAATGAAATCAGTAGGAAATGAACAAATGGAGAAACTCCATAAATTGAGAAAAGAAAAGGCAGCAATAACCCAGCAAATGGTAGAAATCGAATTTAAGATGGCAAAAGCGAGGAGATCTTTGGAACAGGCAGACGATTACGACGTTTTCAAGGAACGCATTGCAATTGGAAAAATACATAAAGAAGTTCTTGCCAAACCACCTCCTACTCTGAACAATCAAACATTAGGAATTCTGTTGAGGTTTTCACCTAATTTAATTTCTTTCAAACGTTTGCAATCAGACCTTATGCGGATTGGAACAGTGCATACATCCAATGGTAAGAGTGTGTCAATAATATCAATGTGTCCTTTCGGTACAGAAAGTCTATCAATGGTTTTAAATAATCTAATATTATATTTTAGGAGTTTATTATTATTTTAAAAATTAGAAGAGATCGAAATACTGTACAGCAAAGTTGAGGAGGTGTTTGCTTCGTATACACAGTGGAACAACTGATTGCCTAGTAGGCCTATTTGCGTTGTTTTTTCTCGTTTCAATAATGCTCCAAATCAACTAAAACAGATTTTTAAACTCCATATACTTGAAATAATGTTGGTAATTGTCCGTTTTTCCCCAGAATCACTGATTCGTGTAAAAAATATACTTTGTAAAAACACACCCCAATCTGTTTTGGAATGCATGGAAAGTGCTGTGAAGGAAGCATATGCATTAGATGTCTACAAACTTACACAAAATGAAGACAGAAGAACAAAAGCTAGATTTATTATGAACCGTTTGGAAGAGGTTTTTCATGAAAAATGGAGTTGCTTTATAGGAGATTTCTCGTGCTGCTCTTTGCAACTACAAGAGCAGACTCATGCCCTTTATGCCGTTAATGACTCTGATAAAGTTTTAATTTTTAAAAACATGCCAAGTGCAGTAGATCTCTCGAAAGAACCTAAATCTAAAAGAACTTCAAACGTCAAACAAGACAACATTTCGAAAGATCAAGCTAAAATACTACACAGTAGCTATGACAAAAAAGCTGACAGCACTGCCTTAGAATGTGTGCAGAAAAGCCTTGATAGTAGTAGTACTAAGTCTTTCAACAATGACACAACATTCAACACCACTCAGGACGTCAGAATCAAAATTAAAGCACCTAAGCAATCCTCAAACCTCAAACAGGGCAACTTTTCAGGTGAAGTTAAAATAATACACAGTAGTTACGACGAAATAGCTGACAGCATTGCCTTAGAATGTGTGCAGAGAAACCTTGATGGCAATAAGTCGTTCACCACTGACACAGCATTCAACATCGCTCAAGACTTCAGCACCAGAATGAAAGCGCCATGGCAATGCATAATTCATAACTGTGCTATGATAGGCCTGAGTCGGGAACACATTCAAAAGATGAAGTCCGACACTCCATCTATGATAACCGTTCGGGCAGATGGTAAAGATGTCTGGTTGCTGAAGATGATTAGCTTTAATTAGGTAGTAATCGTGTTGGCAGAGATTCCCCCACACACACCACGTCCCTACCATGGTTGGGTCTGTACAATGTCAACAAATCTGGAGAATAGGCGCCTCTATTTTGCTCGGAAATGGTACTTGCAGAGTGTAAAATTCTTTTTAAAAGCTGTAAATAATGATTGGCTTCTTAACGACGGGCGAGTGATGGTGGGACATTGCTGGGTTCCCCGACAAGAGGGGCCTGTACCCCGGACCATGCTGGTCCCGTAACTGGGCAGTTTGAACTATATTATCAAGTCATGGAAAGGTACATCCATTCAATACATTTAGAATTTGCAAGAGACATAGTTCTGATATATGCCTACTCATCATTTGAGAGCAGCATGCATCAGCACAGTTAAGTTCAACAAGTGGTGTCCCTGATTATATTCCTGAGCTGCAGTTTTTTTAGTACAGATACATACGGACCTGCATTACAGGTCCATTTTGATTTTGACTAAATTTTTGTATTTGTTTTACTAACAATGAAAATTCGAATTGTAAATACCTCATTGCAATGATTTTAAACCAAAAAAAAAAAAAAAAAAAAAAAAAAAAACCAAAAAAAAAAACACTATACAAAAA